TCTATATACCATTAATAGAAAGCGCACTTGTACACGTTACTAAAGTACGCAGCACAATATCCAGACTCTGGAAAAAAAAAAAAAAAAAAGAAAGCTTTGGCTAAAACTTATGTGCCTTGAAGGAATACTGTGCAAATCAATAGGAACTCTAAAAGGATCAAGCCCTTAATGCAGCATTTGTAATGTCTGCAATATCAGAGCTTATGTTAAGGATTTTATTGAGGCTATTTGCCTGTATAAAAGCCCAAAGATTGAATCCCTAAGCATCTGTGATATGCTACAATCAACTGCCACAATTATGATTTGTTTTTACAGCAAATTAGCATTACACAGCCAAGTATAATTATGTAGCCAGCTGGGCTTTTTGCAAATTCCTTACCGTTGTAGGAACAGTCTTATTTGCTTCTTGATAGACATGTTGTTCTGAGACTAAACTGCTAGGGAAATAACCAACTGTCCCCATATGGTCTTCATACTGTTCTCCATAAACCTTCAAGCAAGGAGATGTATAATTAGGTACCTCAAAACAGTCCTCATCTGGTTTGAGCTAGGTCATAAGTTAGTCAAAAGAAGTTACTAATAGTTTTTCTTACCCTGGTTTTAGATTTCCTAGTTTCCAATTAGCTGGCACATGAAACAAACCATTACCACAAGTTCTGATACAGGCATACGTTTTTTGGAGTAAATTAATGCTGCTTATAGTTTATCTGGATTTTTTTTTTTATAAATGCAGCTAATATTTATCTTTACTTCCCTTAAATTTAAAAGTTTTATGACCAACTGTGATAAAAGCTTTCTCCTCCACAGTTTCAGCAAACAGCCACAGAAAAGAACTGTTGAGCCTTTCTGTTAAGGTTCGGTTCATAATTACCATATAGTTATTGAAGATATTTCAATAAAAAATAAAAATTAACCCCCTCAAGACTCCTCAATCAGTTTAAGTTTAAACATGCGCTTTGAAAACTAAGTTGCTCCTTAAAACCCACAATAGCTCAGCATCAGCATCCATTTCTTGTCAGAAACGTGTATTAATCTACTTCGGGTTTGTTCATATACACAAGAATCTCCTCTTACACTTCCAGCCCAGAATTCTCCAGAGTCTTTTTCTTTCACTAGTTTTGAATAAACATAAATCAACTGCCCTTTTTTAATATTAATGAATCGGCAGTCTGGAGCATTATAATCCTCTTCTGCTCTAGCAAGGGAAATGGTGTCTAGAAAAAAGAAGAAAAAGAATGGACAAATTTAAATACATATATACTTTTAGAGAGAGAAATAGAAATATGTGTGTGCTTGTATGCACACATGTAAAACTATTTCTACAGATAAAAGTAGGTTTAATAAAAGTCATCAAGAAACTGTCGTGCTCATTTTTGTGTTCTCCAGTAAGCAAACTAACAGCTTAAGAATGTGCCATTTCATCACAGTGGAAGTTACAATCCTCTCTACACTTACCTTCCACCTGAGCAAAAAATGTGCTTTACAAAACCCTTTTTGCAGTAAAACTGCATATGACATTCCACATAAACCCTTCCACTCTACTTTTAAAGTTGAGAAACCAATGCAAATACAGTGGACCTAAAGAAGCAGAGTAGTTTTCCCTTGCACTACCGCATCCAAACTCCAGTCATTTTTGAGACTGTTCTGTCCTCAAAATAAAAGCAAAATTACTTACAGACACAGTCGTCATCAGCACACAGCTTCTTACTGGCAAGCTTGTCCATAAAAATTCCAGTTACAAGAGGACACATCAGTCCAAGACACAAGAGTAGAATAACCAAATGAACACGTCCTGTCATTTTTCTTTGCTGAAGCGCTTTGCCGAATGCGTGCCGAGTCCAGCGATCCCCGTCTTTTATGGAAGAGGCAGACACCTGGACAAACACGCCGGGCCAATTGGAAGGGGTCAGGGTGACATTCCACCCCACCAGAGGAAGACCTCAGGGTCTACTCACGAAACCAAATCCCTTTCCAAAGCCATTCTGCATTAGCATTTCAATCAGCAACTGTATTATTTAAACATTTTAAGCCTTCCTGTAGTTGTCCGTAGTCTTAATCTTACCTCAAGCAAAGTTTGAGAATGAAAATTAAGTCAGACCCTGGTAAGCAGCAAAGGAAATTACATCCTTGCAAATCCTCAAATTCTTCATTTTCACAAATGCTCACCGACGAGTGTAATCTTCACTGGACCATAAACTCTCCGTGGCAGAGATTCCCCTGTTACCCTCTACGGAAGGGAGATGCATAGATGCAAAAGTAAACAAACCATTAGGGAGCTGAAAACCAGTAAAAGGGCTTTGCCAGTCAGCAATTTGAATTTGAAGTCTAAAAGGTTCAAGCACTGCATCCTTGTATAGGCAAAATCCTTTCCACATTTAGACACAGTGGAGAACAAAACAGGGGTTATGCCAGGACAGCGATGTTTCACTTTTATTTACATAGCTGAACTCAGTTGAGCATTTGCAGATGCAAGACGCTGAACAACACAGAGTGCCACAGACTGACTTAAAAAGTCCTCTTTACGCCTTGGAGAAGACATCTAGAATTCATATAACTTCCCTAAATCTTGTCCTAACATACACGAGGCAAGACTTGTAGGGAGTATTTTAATTAACATAGATGCGCGCACAAGCAGAAAAGGAACAACTACCAAGTTACTGCACTGTAAACGATTCACATCACAGCTGTCAGGCTTCGGAAGACTGGTCTGGATCAATCCTTAAAAGTGACCAAGAGCAAGTTTGGAAATTCCCCAAACCAGAAAACTTCTTGATTCACGAGGAGGCCTGAAGAGCTGCTGGCTGTACCAGCTTTCAGTCCACAAGAACAGAGGGAACTGTCAACTGCCACCAAAACCCTCACAGTCTCTTTTAAAGAAAGAGCATCACGCAATTTCTAGCATCGCCCTCGTATTACAGGTGACTTCACCACATTCTCTCATCTTCCAGCCCATTACTCCTTCCTCCACCGTCCGGTATGTAGTGTCTAACGGCAGCTCCACACAAACCGTTCTAAGTGAATAAAGGTGAAGAGCAGCGGTAGTCTCCTGTACACAGAGTAGTAGGATGCAAGGCCAGCATAATTAACACCTATAAAATTATGACCGCAGAAGGAAAAACATAAGGTTCATGATGGAATAGCAGTCACTTTTGCTCCCTTACAAACACATTCAAATGATTTTTGCTTGCAAGTATTAGAATACTTGTGAAATCACACACACAAAAAAATAACTAAAAAGAATGAAAAAATACATATATGGAGATATGACAGTAAACAAGATGACACTGGAAGGGGCATCACCTTGCAATGTACTCTGGGAGCAGAAGATGAAAGATTTTCCAGGTCTTGTGCAAAAAAGATGATTTATGCAGCTAGTTTTATGCTTAGAGATGCACTGAAACATAGCACTTGCTCAGAAATTGAGTGGCCAGAACTACAAAGTATACCAAGATTTTATAAAAAAGCAATCATGCTTCCCTGAAGGTGCAACACTTTGTGCAAAGAACAGTTCTAAGTCAGATCTCAATTGTTGCAGAAGACAAACTGGAGAAACAGATGCTCTGCAGCTACAGCAGAGCCCGCACCACACAGGAAAGGACTGCATGGAGCTATGGTCACAGAGGAAAGGCTCCAGCCTCCAGCATCCTTCCTCCCACCACCACTGATCAAATCACGTTGGAAACAGAAAAAACCTCAACACTTGCAACATAGCTACAACGCAAAACATTCTTCCTTGTAGTTTCTTGCCTAAACATCAGCTCCTCTAATACTTGCCCGAACTACTTCTAAAGGGAATCATGCTAACTCTATCCCATTACTTCTCTGAAAGGGTAGTTAGAGGCCTCACAGAGAAAGCGTTCAAGAAGTGAGGAATGGTGCAACATGACAAGCGTGAACACACAGTGCAACTGCTTCCTCTCAAACATCAATCTTCAAGGGTCTGATAGCAATCCTCCCAGGCAACAGCATGCAACAGCTGCTGCCAGATTCACCAAAAATATAGTAATATTTTAAGTACATTTCATTATTCTCTTAACCTAAAATACCTTTCTAGGTCTTCCATCACCTGAACAGAACACTTGCTTGAGCTTTTGAAGTGATCCGTGCACCCAAATATTCAGAACAGTTACAACTGGCAATACTGCATCCAATCACTGTATTCGGTGTATTTCATGTCACACAACACCTGCAAAGGTTTTTCACAAATGGAGGGAAAAAAACCCAGAACCAAACCCAGAAGCATTAGGACATGTATTTTGGAAAAACCTGCCTAAAAACAGACCATCAGGCTCATCTCCATCGTCTCTGTAAAGAGCCAGAAAGGTCTTCCTAAACCATTTATTAAAATCATAGGGCTGGAAAGAGCAGAAGAGAAGACAACAGATAAACTTTTATGTTTCTTCCGTGGACCTGCTTCTACTACCAGCCATTATTATAAAGACAAAACCAAGTTGAACAGTGCTGTCAGACTCATCAAATTCTACCCATACTTGGAAAAAAAAACCCAAAACACTAATGACAATTTGTTTTTCTTAAGTGGCAAAATTATTCTCGCTGAAAAGCAGCTGTCCCCTTGATAATGAGGCTGAAGATTGAGTAATGCATTTATTCTGAATATGCTTTATTCCTGCTCATGCTTTTTGCTCTGGAAAGACAGCTATTTTTCCAGCACTCCTGAGAAATGACTGTCACCTTAAAAGTAGTTAAACCAAGACACTGAATAAGCCCTGCAAGCCTAACAGATCAGTAATAACACAGACTCGAGGAAAAACATGGCCTGAAAACAGTATAAACTGAATTTATTTTATAAAACTTAGTATTTCAACAGCAACATTTACTATCCAGGTGATCCACAGAAATCCTACATCTGTCCTGGCCATTGTGGGAATTTTACACAAGTCTTAAGTTTTCTGCAGAAAACAGCAAACAGGCTAGTTGATCAAAGTATCATCATATTAAAAAACCAACTATCCACAGAAGTCCCTTATAGGAGCACCCGGTTATTTCTTCGCATAAGTGATTTTCATGGCATGAGATGGAGTAATCTTGAATCCCTGGAGAGCATCTCGAGCAGCTCCTGCTTGATTCTCATTTTCAAACTCCACAAATGCAATGTCATGACGCCCAGGCACTAAGCGTACTTCTTTGAATCCAGGAAACCTTTAAAATAAGGTGAAAGAGTCAGATAATATTTCCTAGTTCAATAATACATCTCTCTCCAGTAGCCTTAAGACTTCACCATAAGCATCTAAGAGTATAATATTTACTACTAATGAAAGATTTAAATTGAAGGGGTTTACTTGTCCAGTCCTTAGAACCAAGCCTCAATTAAGGGTTATTACATGGAAGCAATTTAATCAGTCTTGCGCACATACGGAAGCAACTAAAGCTAGTTTTAAAACTGCTCCTGCTGTCGTAAAGTCACCGGCTTAAGTCCGGCAGAGATTGATAGTAGATAACTTACACAATCAAAACCAGCTACAAAGAAATCGGATTTGCTTTCTGTACCAAGTCATCAGAACTGACATCTGTAATCTTGGCAGCAAGACAAAGAACTGAAATACCTTCTCATTTCTAAAAAGTCAGCTTGCCAACTGAGAAAAAGCATACGGGTAACAGAAAAATTCAAAGGAGAAATCCTTTCTATTCCAAACTTACTGATTGAATAACATGGACAGCATCATCTCATTTGTTTCCTCAGGCAAGTTATTAAGGAAAAGGATATAGTTCGGTGGGTTATCCGGCACCTGCAATAACAGAAGATCAGAGCTCAGAAGATTATACACAGTTATCTGTTCCTCTGCATCTGTCTGCACAATTATTTGAACCAAGACTCACATATCCTTATTTTTGCTCATAACGCTGCTAGCTGGATGTTAGTATACCTTCATGCAATACGCAAACATAGCCCCTTGGGTCTTTTAAAAGAATGTATTTATTTGGAGAGACTCTTATTTCCAAAAAAAAAAATCACAGTAACATATTGTCTTTGATGTTGTATTTAAACTTGACAACAGCTGACACTGCAGTACCCCATCGCCCCAGATCTTAGCGTTGCTGGGGTGGGATGCAGGTACCAAAGACACCTGTATGGCAGTGGAAGAACCTGTGAGAGACTCACACCCTTCCGGAACAGCACTGGGAGGCCAAGGTAAATAAATACTCTGTTCATCTGCAGTAGTACTGAAATACTGAGTATCTTTGTGCAACTGAACCCCACAAAACCCACGTGGTTTTACTACGGTGCGCTACTCAAATGTATTAATTAGAAACCCCATTAGATTTAATGCTTTAAGAGTCTTTAACAGATTCGCCTGCTAATATGAATGTGTAGCAACCCACCAGACACAAGGCTGAGTAGTCAGTTTGCTGACACTGGACTGGAAGACTGGAATCTCCCTAAGTCATTAAGGAGATTACAAAAACAAAAAGAAATTGGACACCACAACTTCAAACCTCCTAATAACGGTGTGCCAAGTAAGTTAATGCATCAGCAGAACAATTTCTTTCAGCTGATGGAAATATTCCAGGCAGTGCCATTAGAAATTAAGCTTCTAAAGTTCAAACAAATACCTCAGTGCTGTGCTTTGATGCAAACTGACATACACATACTGTGCCTTGTACCAAGTGATACCTGAAAGAAAACCCACACTGGGAGCAAAACATTTTCCCCCGTGGATCATGTACGCAATTCTCAATGACAGTACTTAAGAAATGCACGGCAGGCAAAAATATTCCTTTCTAGTATTTGCCTTCCTGCAAATCCCGGCTCTTTAGTACCCCCACTTCTAACACATATGAATCATTTCAAAGGTCACTGAGCAGACAAGATGAGTGAAGCGTGGGGTGTTGTTGCTGTATCTCCATGCAATCCTTTGAAAAATAAGATACTTATGAGAAAAGAGACAAAGTGAGTACAGGACCCCCAAACACCTGAAAGGAAACTTTTAGGCAGATAATCTGGCACCCTGTGTAGTCTTCCTTCTCCTTTCTACTACAACAAAATAAGTTAAAGGGAATTTGAACAACAAAAAAAATAAAGAATCCTTCAACTGATACTAAGCATATTCCAAATTTAAGAATCAAGTGGGATTTGTTAATAGTTCTGTAGAATACTGAGAAACTGCAGATTTTCATTTCATGTCAACTAGATACAGTAAAAGTGGGATTTCTTTTGTTTGTTTACTGTTAGACAAATGTCTCACAGAACAGAAAGGAAGCTGTGAAATATATCCTCAACTTTCCATGTGTAACAAACTATTATTCACAGAGTATAATTTTAGACATTAGTGCTTTCAGTCACCAAAAAAAAAAGCATTACCTGCTGATTCTGTGCTGCAGTCCCTGGGGCACTGGCTGAATTTTGTGTTGCTCCCTAGTAAGTACAAAATAGTTTTACAAAGTGTTCTGTTAGAAGCACATAAGCTCATATCACCATGTTTATGTACAACTCAAGTAGTATGTTAAACATTTTTTAAGCTACAACCCAAAGAACATTTTTTGCTTATGAGGTATCTCCCGAAGGGAAACATAAAACATGTGAATTTCGCTGATGTCCAAAACCAGGCAAAGAAAAAACATGAGTAGTATCTGATCTAATGGCTGATTCGGCAGATACAGCAAATCACTATTTCTTCACATTATAAAATTTGGTTTAGTAGACAGGAAGAAAGTGATTTTGAAAATGAAGGCCTAGACAGGACGTGGCTATTAGGAAAAAAATAGGTGTTTCCACTGAGGACTCCTAAAGCTATTACCATTATAGCTAGTAGCAATTATTTCTTCCTATGAGATTTGTAGATAATGATTTTCTTTTTTTTAAATAAATCCTCAGAAATCTGAATATTCTACCTAGAAAACATTGCTTTCTATGAACACACTTCTCTCTCCTTGATACCAATTTGCACCTTAGCAGGAAGAGTAATTAAATAACACATTAATCAAACTCTGTGCCTTGATGTTTTCTGCTGTACTTCAGCACGTAAATTACTAAATGTTGTTAGTTGAGGCCAGGCCAAACCTTACTGGAGATATGTTCCAAGCAAACTCCTTTTCTTCAAACTGTGAAATGAATTATCTTGTTCCCATTTACCATTTTTCAGTGCTTACAGAGCAATTAGGGCATTAAAACACTGCAGGAAAAAGCTGGTTGAGCACTTGAAGCTGCTGTTAAAGAAAGGCACACACATTTCCTTTTCTAAAAACGCATGAGTTTCTACTTGTCCTAGTTTTGGCCAAGATAAAGAGTTAGTTTTCTTTCTAGTAGCTGGTATAGTGCTGTGTTTTGGATTTAGGATGAGAATAATGTTGATAACACACTGATGCTTTCAGTTGTTGCTAGGTAGTTGTAGTGCCTACACTAAGTCAAGGACTTTACTGCTTCTCATGCACTGCCAGGTGCATAAGAAGCTGGGAACAGCACAGCCAGGACAGCTACCCAGACTGGCCAAAGGGATATTCCCTACCATATAATGTCTTGCTCCAGATATAACTGGGGAAACTAGCTGGGAGGTGGGATCACTGCTCGGAAGCAGACTGGGCATTGGATTAGTTTTTTTCCTGCATGTGATGAGCAACGAATTTGCGCATCACTTGTTTTATTATTATTATTGTTACTGCTATTATTCTTCTCTTCCTTTGTTATTCTACTAAACTGTCTTTACCTCAACCCATGAGGGTTTTTTTCCCCCATTCTGCTTTGCCATCCTCTTGAAGGGAGAAGGGGTCAACGAGCAGCTGCGTGGTGCTTAGTTACCGGCTGGGGTTAAACCAAGACACTACTTTGGTTTATTCTACCTTTGCCCTACATCTTTGTTTTCATCTGTTAACAGGAATGGAGGGGGGGGAAAAAAAAAAAGGAACAGCAAGGACTATATATCAGCCCTCTTTCCTTCAACTTCTAGCGAGTGCTCAAGAGCACTAGATATCAATAAACCGCAATTTAGGAAACTGAGAAGTACAAAAAGACAATACATAGTCCTAGAAAAACATAATTTAAAATAGGTTTTGTCTTTGTTTTTCTTTTTTAAAAAGAAGCAGCAGCTTACCTGGATAATCTTTTTATTTGCTGCATTTGCTGACTGCTCCAGAGATTTGGCTTTCTTCTTTTCCTTCCTTTTTTCCTTATCAGCAAAAGTACCACGCATTTTAGAGATGATGTCAGAGTCTGTTTTTGCATACTGAATACGCTTTTTAAAAAGAAAAAACCAAACAACGTACATTTTGCAGTTAATAATACTGAATATTTTGTACCACTTTCATTAACTGTGTTCCACTGTGCATTTACATATTTTTGCAGCAACTTCTTATATTAAAAATATTGTTATAAACTGTAAGTATGCTTACAGAGCATCAAATCCTCATAATTCATTCTGAACACAAACAGAACTCTAAAAAACACCTTAAGATGGAAATTGCTAATATTAATTCATTGAAATCAGAACTCTACTCATCTAACAGCATCTTTTAAACCCTGCAGGTTTTTTAACCCCATTTTAAGGGGAGTTAAAATTTTACAGTGCTTTCTCAGATCTCTGCAGAAAACTGAGTTCAACAAAACTCAGGCTTCTTAAATAGAAAGGCAAGTACTCACTTTAATCCAAACTGGATTTCATAGGCTCTGTCAGCAGCACAACGATGCTGGTTTTCTGACAAAGGCTGCCCAATGCACTACCCAGGGGCATAAAAGCAGATTCAGCTACGAGTATCCAGGTGTGCAATGTTACATATGCCTACAATCCTACCATTTTTACTATCAGACACTACATCAATACAGAATTACACAGCAGTTGAAGATTTTTTTTCCCATGCTTTTGTTCAGTGCTTAAAGTATGCATGCTGCAGGCAATACTCAAAGAGCAAAGTACACCTGAAAGCTTATGAAGCCTTAATCTTTTTATTTATTTATTTTATTAAAGTCAAACAAAAAAAGGAAGCCTACAGA